CTGCAAATGCAGCTGGGCGTACTCTAAGCTGCTATCACAGAGTAGGCATTAGAATAACAATGATAACAATAAAAGAAGAGACCGCTTTGAAGCACAACACACTCACTGAAGCAGGGAAACAAGGTAGATACCAGGACAGACACATAGTGCATCCTCTAAAATGATCTGAGGATGGATTTAGTAGCTGACAGTGAAATGATTCATTTATACTACCCGATAGCTGCATTTCTTACAGAGCTCCGGGTGCACTTTCCCTGCTGACGTTTTGAAATAAATGAAAGGTGGCATTTTGTTTGTGATGTATTAAGTACCCCCAAGAAAAGAGGGTGGGGGAACCTATTTCCAAACATCTTCACCAAAACAAAACAAAAACCCCATGCACATCGAGTTTTCAGCCGCAAACAAATCAGTAGGAAGCATCTTGAAACAGCGAGAGATTCAACACTACTATTTCTTTTCTGCTGCAAGAAAGTTTCTTGGAATGACAGCTTGTCTTCATTTGTATCTTACTTTGTATTAGTCTCAGTTTATTATATAAATGCAGCTTCCATACCACCTTTACAGAGCAACAGACTATGTGGGATCTGATGTCGCATCAGACCAAAAGACAACTGTCATGGTTATCATATTATAAAGACCCACATCAACCAGGCTAATGATGTCACAGTGGATACTGAGATTTTGGGCAGCTGCTTCCTGGCCATTCCTCCTGTCTCCCTCTCCCTAGGCCCCCTAGCTGCTCCTTTCCTCCTGAGAGATGCCTTGGCAGTAGCAAGACTTGCTTGTTGCTGACCTGGGCTCTTTAGCTGCCTGTTTCACCTAGTTTGTGGGAGTCATAAAGCCACGGCAGAGGCTTGTATTGCTGCATGGTGCCTGCTAATCTCGGTGACCAGCATGTCTGTGCCTTGTAATGTATAGAATGTATTGACCTTTTATGGAGTTGTGTTTCCTTTGGGCAGTGATTACCTTATATGGCGATGGGTGTTGTAAAGCCATGATTGGGCATGTAACGTGAGACATTGGCAGACGGCCATGCAGGCTGAGAGAGAGACAAAGGATAATAAAAAGTTACCGGAGAGAGAGAGAGAAGTCGAAGGAGCTGCTCCTCCATCCTGAAAACATTGCTGTCTCACTGTGTCCTTTTTTCAAATGCTGTGCAGCACCATTTGTGAGGGCTGGCTTCCGTCACTAGTTGTCTGCTCCCAGTGCATCACAACACCACTGGGAAAGGCCCATGACTGAGCAAGCAGGGAGAGAGGCAGTTCATCCAGGTCATGTGCTCCAGAAGGACATGTGTCCCTCTGCTTACATAATGCACACAGAGGCCACCATCCTGCACTGCCCTTTTGTTTGCCTAGTCAGTACTAGGCAGGCTGATGAGTTAGTGGCTGGGAGGTGTCAGAGAACAGAGCTCTGCAGGGCTGGCCCATCCATGAGGCTAGATGAGGCCACCACCTCAGGTGGCAAGATCCACAGGGGCAGCTGATCCTGAGGTAGATCTTTATTCCCCTCTTGCTCCTGATGTAGATCTTCACCCACCCTTTCTTCCCTGGTGGAGAGGGAAGCACCATTTTGTGGTTTGCCTCAGGGGCCAACCCTGCAGCTACAGGTATGTGTGCCACAAGGCTTGCTCGGCACCTTCTAAGCTGCCCTCAGTGACAGCGGAGAATACTGTCCAATGGCCAGCACAGCAAGTATAAAACCACAATAAACATACACAATACACAGTAAAATATAACAGCAGAAAACATCATAACCAGTTGGCTAATCACATAAAATGTTTTAGGTCAATCAATATTCCTGTCCTCCACTCACATACACAGTTCAAAAAGTCATGTGTGTATTTATTTAATCTATGGGTTTTAAATTTTAACAAGCTTAAATTCTGTATTTTTACAATCTAGATTCTGTGACAAGAAAAAGCTGGATCATTTTATCTATATTAGGCATGGATCCAAAATTGAAGGGATGAGCCACAAATAGTTCAATAGTCTAATGACTACTCTTTCATTAAGCATTTCAATGCTCTGCAATGAGATTCTCTCTATTCTAATTAATTATATAGTTCAAGATCCCAGTGTGAGTCCCTGTCCCTTTTGGGATGATTTAGACTTCATCCATCTTATCCCACCATCAGAATCTGTCCTGATGCAGAGCCACAAAGCAATTGCAAGTCCCTATTTTGTCTCCTAATGGTACACATATCCCAAACAGCTACTGAGGGAAGCCTGGCTGATAAGCCATGGGCTGGGGAAGCAGGGAACCTCCAAGGCCAGTTGGTGAGGGGGGGGTGTTTTCCAGTCCCCAGTTCTTTTTTGGCCCAGTGGCCCTGAGAAAATGATCTAAAGAAACCCTCTTCACCAATCAAGATATGTTCCATGTGCTTATCAGCATGCTTGACAAATTCTTTCCATCAGCAGTGGCCATGCAGCCATGACCTGTTTAAAGCCCAAGTTAATAGTTTCTCAGTCGACCCAAAGCACAAGGGACATTGTAACACAAAAGAAACAAAAAAAATTGTTTTCATGGCTGGTCAGTTAATACCTTATGGGGGGGCATCAAAAAACAAAAATTTAAAACGGGAAAATAAAACCCAAGCGGGAATGTCTAACAATCCAAGATGTTCTAATACAGATCAGAATGTAAGTCAAATGCATTGGCATCATTCTTGACATGATGATTCTATACCCAGTGATCAGCTTGACAGGATATAGCAGTAGATTTAGTATACTTGAATGTTTCTCAACTGCCACCACATACAAAACTGTCTTATAAGTAACACATTTATCAACATCAGCCAGGAAATAAATCTTCCTGTCAAAATATGTCTTCCTGTCAGAAAAATGTCTAACCAATTCCTGGAAGTGTCTCTTGTAGGATTCTCATATAGTGGCAGTACAGAAGCTGGCACAACAAGTTCTTCCCTGAGATTTTTCTAGGCCATACATTAAGAGTAAGAATAAGAATAAGAATTTCAATTTATATACCACCCTTTATCAAAAGATCCCAGGTATGTATACAACATTAAGAACAGATTTTACGGAGCATGAATAATAAAACTTAATTAAAAAAACATAGTAGCAGATAGCATAATAATAAAATAAACATAACAACAGTCCTCACCCCAGCTTTAAACAGGCCGTCAATTAATGGCCAAAGGCCTGGGTAAAGAATAATGTTTTTGCCTGGTGCCTAAAGACATGTAATGTTGGCACTAGGCAGCTGTGGAGGTAGCCACTCAGCTGCCAGGAACGGCACACTCAGGTACCTGCAGCCAGGGGCGGAGCAAGCCACCTGTGGCGGACATTCGACTCACAAGCCTCCACTGATCTGTCAAAATGAAGGGGGAAGGGGGGAATGCCGCTGGCAAAGTGGGGCAGCTCCCCCCCTTCCTCAATGGCTTGGGAGTCATGGTGGGGCAGCGCGTCGAATGTCACCCCCCTCTGTAATGGCACCTGGGGTGAAGCGCTCCCACTGCCACCCTTCCTACGCCCCTGACACTAGGGAAGCATCTCTGGGGGGAGCATTCCACAAAGGGGGAGCCACCACAGAAAAGGCCCTGTTCTCATGTTTCCACCCTCTGAACCTCATGTGGAGGAGCCACACAAAGAAGGGCCTCAGAGGATTAATGCAGAGTCCGGGTTGGTTTATATGGGGTTAAAGGTAAAGGTACCCCTGCCCGTGCGGGCCAGTCATGTCCGACTCTGGGGTTGCACGCCCATCTTGCTTAAGAGGCCGGGGCCCAGCGCTGTCTGAAGACACTTCCGGGTCACGTGGCCAGCGTGACAAGCTGCATCTGGCGAGCCAGCGCAGCACACGGAAACACCGTTTACCTGCCAGCTAGTAAGCGGTCCCTATTTATCTACTTGCACCCGGGGGTGCTTTCGAACTGCTAGGTTGGCAGGCACTGGGACCGAGCAACGGGAGCGCACCCCGCTGCGGGGATTCGAACCGCCGACCTGATGATCGGCAAGTCCTAGGCACTGAGGTTTTACCCACAGCGCCACCCACATGGGGTTAGGCAGTCCTTAAAGCCGTGGTTTTCAACCAGGGTGCTGTGGCACCCTGGGATGCCTTGAATGATGGCCAGGGGTGTCATGGGCAACCCTGGACTCTGTCCCTCTTTCCTTTCCTTCCTCCTCTGATGCCCTCTTGCGTCTCTGCCTCCCAAAGGCTTGCACAGTTGTTTGTTGCAGCTGCCCTGGCTACAACCTCCCCAGGCAAATGGTGCCTCTGGGGCTGGCCAGAGGGTGCTGGTTGCCAGGTTCATCTTGTGTAATCATCCACCAGTATGAGGTAGAATTGGGCCTTTCCTATACTTAAACTAAATGGACCTGCAAGGTCAGCATGGAAGAGTTCAATAGGTCTAGTGGACTTCCTATAAGTATGCTTTGCTATTGGCTTCCCAATAGGCTGAAAGCCTAAAGCTCAAAAGATAGTGGTCTGATCCTGACAAGGGACTGATGTCAATATCCCCCACTTTCAGGTCATCCATTTCCTGCCCAGTTGAAAAGACAAGATCCAGAGTGTGACCTGCTATGTGCTCAGGCCACTGAAATGTTGAGGTAGCCCCCTGGTCATCATAGCAGCCATGAAGTCCTGAACAATAGGAACAACAGTATACCTGTCATATAGACATGCTGATAACATGGCTTAGAAATGCCATTTTGCAAAGGTGTTTCTCAGAGTACAGACAAATTCAAATCAAAACATTTGATTAAATGATATCATGATGAAAAGCAGATATTTTGGGTGTTTTATAATGTCATCTAAGTGTCCCAATTAGTTTCCTAGCAACACCAAAGCAGCAGCAACCAAGGTTTTAAGTAAAAAGAAAGATGGACCATTTTTAAGATGACCCAAAGTACCCCATACTGTTTGAGTGTTACACCTTTAATTACTACTGAAAGTATACCCTCCAAAATTTCTACGATGAAAATAGGGATGTCCTATTTCATAACAAAAACAACAACAACAACGCTTTTATAACATTAATCCTCAAACAAGATCAGGGTGTGTGTGTGTGTGTGTGTGTGTGTGTGTATACACACACACACACACACACACACACAGGGCTGCCTTCAGATGTCTTTTAGAGGTTGTATAGTTACTTACCGTATTTTTCTCTCTATAAGATGCACTTCCCCCCTCCTAAAAAGTAAGGGGAAATGTGTGTGCGTCTTATGGAGCAAATGCAGGCTCCATGGCTTCAGCGAAAGCAACGCGAAGCCTCGGAAGCGCTCCCGCTGTGCTCCGGAGGCTTTGTGTTGCTTTCACTGAAGCCATGGAGAGCAAGAGGGGACGGTACGCACCAACCCCTTTCGCTTCGCTGGAGAGGCGCTGCACAGCTTTCGGGAGGAGAAACGGAAGGGGCTCCGTTTCTCCTACCGCTTCGCTGAAGAGGCACTGCGCAGAGAGGGAGAGAATATTTGTTTTCTTGTTCTCCCCCTCTAAAACTAGGTGTGTTTTATGGTCGGGTGCGTCTTATAGAGCAAAAAATATGGTACCTCCTTGGCTCGGGGATCACATACACTCCTAAATTTCTCTGATGAAAATAGGGACATCCTAGGAAAAAGCGGGACTTTCCGGGATCAAATCAGAAACCAGGATGGCTTCTGTAAATCTGGGGCTGTCCCTGGAAAATAGGGACACTTGGGACTTCCGGGTTAACGCCATCGGTGAATGGCGGAGTTCCTCCGACCGGAGGAACTAGCTCCGTGGAAACTGGGTCTTCCCACCGCGGCGAAGGTGGGGACCCGCTAGAAATCCCAGGCGGAGGAAGCCTGGGAACGTGGGGTTCGGCAGGGCACCAGGAGCACCCCCCCTACTCACGGGGAACCCCTTTTTGGGATTCCGGAGTGAAGTGGGGTGAGCGGCGCGGTGCTGCGAACTGACTGCTACTTTCACGGAGTGAAGCCGCACAGCCATCGCCGGAGAGCGCTGACTTTTCCTGTGGACAATTGGATCTAAAACAAGTACCCGTGAGTAGAAACGGAAAATTGGATCAAGAAATATCTTAATTTGACATCGAAGCGGGACGGTTCAATACAGGACGTCCGCCTTCCGCTTTTTCTATATAGACTGACGCAAACACCTTGTACGCTAACGCCGGGAATGTCGTTAAAAATGCCTAAAGTTCCTACATTTATAACTACTGACACCCCCTTGGAAGCAGGAGAAACGGGGGGGGGGACTTTGTGTAACGCCTGCAGGAGAGGGAGTGAAGAAAGATAAGTTTCCACCGTCTCTAACCTGGGAACGGGGTGTCAGAGACAGAAATTGTTGGAGAGGTTCATTGACTGTGAATGGAATACCTTCACAGATAGCTAAAGAAGAGAAATAAACTGATTCCAATGTTGCCTTTTGCATTCTAACGAAACAAAATATCTGAAAAAATGAAAGTAATTTTCCTTTGTTGGACTTGCCTTAAAAAGATGGATACAAATAGAAATTGTCTCCTCTAGAGGGAGCTTGCTAAATTGTTGCTGCAGTCTACTTGAGGATTCCACAGCTGTGAGATTAAGATCGTGGGATTAGTCCTTTTGACCTTGACTAAATATGAGCTGGAAGGAAGTTTTGGTGCTTGCTTTATGTAAGACAAGTGCTTTGCTGGAACAGATGCACGAGAAGATGGATTTGATGAATGAGAAAATGGATTTGATGACTGTTGTGGCCAGTAACTGTGGACAATTAGTGAATAGTGATACAGAAACCATCCAGGGTCCAACTCAGGAACCTGTATTGATTGGGCAAGTGCAGAAGATAATGGAGGAGGCTGCGGTTGCACCTCAAATAATACAAATGGAGAGGCCCAAGGCCCTACAGGAGCATAAGCCACTGTTTTTGAAGATTGAAGTTGGAGTGGACCAGGGGGAGTCTGGAGCTGAGGAGGCTTTTAACTTTGGAGAGACTTCGAAATATGCTCGTAAATATTTTTTGGATTATATTGATGACTGTGGGGAGTGGGACTGTGGGGAATGGGCTGATTTGATGAAGGGAGACAGAGATAACTTTGGGTTGGAACCCCCCAGAGACCTACTCCTCAACGAGAAAGAAAAGAAATTAAGAAAGAGACCAACAAAAGACAAGAAAAAGTGCAAGTATAAACAAGAAGAAGAAGATCTGCAGAAGGGACATGGAAGAGACTTAAGGGCCTCGGACATAAGGCTTCCAGGTTGATGGACTAGATGGAATGGACAGTAAGGACTGACACGACCCGAGACCAGGAAGAAGAGACGTTGGATGAAGATTGGAAGAAATTTTATAAAGAAAACTTTTTATTTAGGGAATTAGCCTAAAATTAATGAATATTAGGGAAAATGTTGGAATGTAACTATATGACTCTAGCAGAAATGATATCAGGGGTTATGTATAACTGAGTATTAAGTTTCAAACTTTAAGGTATTTTATGGTAAGATAAGGTTAAATAAATTAAGGTAATTTGAATAACAGAATATGGGGAAAGATGGAAAGGATCTGTCGAGTTAATTAATAGGTTAAATTGTTAAGATAAATTATTTAATAAAAATTGAGAAAGATGGAAAGAATTTGCTGAAATAACTAACTAAACTAGAATACAAAAAGGGAGGTGTGAGGAGGTCAACGAAACAAGCAAATGGAAGTTAAAGATATGCAATATGGGATTTGTGTCTTTTTTTCCCCTTTTTTGATATTTTTTTTAATTGTATTGTTGTATTGGTTTTTATGTTTTGCGTTTTTTTTCCTTCTTTTTATGTATTGTAGTGTTGTTTTTTTTTTTTTATTTTCTCTGTAATTCTGAAATTATTAATAAATATTATTTAAAAAAGAAAAAGAAAATAGGGACACTTGGAGGATCTACTGAAAGTGACTGGGGTACTGGGGTAATTCATATTCAAGCTGATAAAGGTAGAGGATTGTGTGGTTTAATACTGTATAAGAGCCACTAGGTTGGGAAGACCCTGACTGAAATCTCTACTTGGTGGGCAACTTTTGGATAGGCACTACCATACTAAGTTCACAGGGTTCTTTGGAGAGCAGAATGAGGGTGGGGAGAAAGAACCATGTGTTCTGCTTTGAGCTCCTGGGAAGAAAGGTAATAAATAATGTGAGGGGAAATGAAGCAAATTAAGATCTGTTAAATATATTGCAGAATCTTCTAAATTCATTCAGCTTATGAATCAAGTTAAAGATGTGTAAACATCTGAGAAACAAACAAGCCCAGGAAGTGTTGTATCAGGATAAATGACAATCAAAGCAAGAACTTTTTCTTTTTCCAAATTTCTCTCTCATTTCCACCTGTACCTGGCCTGATATCATCCCACGGCTATACTGAGTCACTAAGCATAACTTAACATCAGTTTTAATATTATGTAGCACAAATTTATGTACTATTGCTAGCATTTAAAGAAAAAATAGTTCAGTTAGAGGAAAATGTTGAATTAAATATAAACTCTCCCCAAGAGGAACAATTAGCACAAAACATAAGATGACAACCCCAGTCTCCAAGGTTTGTTTTGTTTTGTTTTTGCATTGCTGAGAACCGCTTCTCCTGTGTGTCATTAGTACAATCCCTGCCTGTGGGTTTGAGTAAAGAAACATTGAGTCTAGGCTTGCCATAGGTCAGGAAAAATCCTGACATGTCCTGGGTTTTGGATGTTAAAAATTGTGTTGTCTCAGCAAAATGTCTGTGAAAACCCAAATGTATGGCAATGCAATGGAAAAAGCAGAGGAACCAGCTCAAAATGCTTTGAGGTGGTTTGTGGAGGTGGTTTCCCCCAAAAAAGCTCAACAACGTTACAGGTGTCAGGTAACCCTAATTGAAATATGGCAACCCTAATTGAGTTAAAACCTTGATTCCATCTAAGAATGTCTTTAGGAGAAGCCTTCAGAAGGTTTACAAGATCCATATGGATGGAGGCATCATTAATTGTTTTATTAACTGCTGATATAATTGAAGCTGTGCAATGGCTCTCAGAGGTGAGGTATTGTTACAGATCTGGGGTTACAGAGTTTGGGTGTGCCAGGGTACCCATAACTGCTAGAGGTAGTGGGTGGTAGAAATCAATAAGGGGGGGGGGATTTAGCTGAAATTTGGAGTATTGAAGGGAAGATGCCAGGCCAAGGTCTCACCAGGGAGAGAAGTTTCTAAGAATGACAAAAGGTACTGGAAACAAGTCATTAACAAGTCATGGAAACTGTCATCAGGGCAAGAGCTTCTCTGCCAGGGAGGGGAAGGTTACCCTGCTTGAGTGCCTGCAAAGCTCTGGAATCTTGCTACTGCTTGGCCGAGATTGGGGGTAGCTGCAACCTTAGAAACAATATCTTTGTAAGCATCCTATGACCTTGATACCTCAAATAGAAACTGCTCAATTTCATCCTGCTTTTCTAAAGAGAATGTTTATTTTTATTTTTTTAAAAAAGTGCAAAAGTAGCATTACAAAAACATACAAAGAAATGCAATAATATTTCCATATAGCCTAAAAACCAATTTAGGAGGAAGATTAGCTCCTTTCTCTGCTGCCCATGCCTTTTGCTTGGTTGGTATAGACAGGCAGGTGCCCAGTCACAGTCATCTTAGCATCTTGGCTTTTGATCTGTTCAGAAAACTGCCTGAATGGGTGTGTAAGTGGATGAGTGTGTGTGTTGTGCAGTTGTGTGGATGTGCACGAGTGTGCATGTGCATGTGTGCCTGTCCGCATGAGAGAGGCTGGTGGCCCCACTGACTTTCGGCATTGTTCACAGACCCCACTGCATGCAGCAGCAGAGCTTTGCTTACAAGGAAATGTGGCATTTTCACTTTAAACGGCTGGCTATCCCTAATTAAAATTACCAAGCAGCAACTGAGTACTGAGCATGAGGACAAGACAGTGCTTACAACAGAAGTGGGCGACCCCTGTTTGGGGAGCTTGATCCAGCCTCCCCTCCACCAGCTCCACCCACACATTTTTTTCTGGTCTCCACCAATTTTTGGCAGCGAAAGGGTGGTAGGCCTAGCACTGGGCCGGGTGGAGTGCCGTGCCCTGAAAGAGACGCAACACCACTGGCATTTGGGCCCCTGGAGCTTTGGCCAAGGATGAACAAGGCCTTTGGGCCAAAAA